CCGCTCTTTCCCTTCCCAAATATTCACTTCCAGTCAAGCTCTTAATTGCCCAGTTTCTGTCAAGAACCCTGCTGACGGGGCTGACTCCATCTAGGAGCTGAATGTCATTAAAGGGGCCCCAGGCCATGGAGGTGTTTAAGAAAGCACTAAATTCTCCCATTCATTATTACACTTTCTCAGTACCACAAGCCTCTCTTGATATAGCCATAAAACCAACTTTGCAAATAGCATCTCTAGAAAGGCAGGACTTGGGGAGATAAGCAGGAAGGGGCTCTAACTCCACTGGTCTCATTTCCAGGGTTGGTGTCCTCTGACTCCAGACCAGGATGCCTCAGCTCACCTCTTCAGGACTTCAGCTCGCTCTTCTGGACCACTCTAGCTCGGCTGCCCGCTGCCCATGGCTTGCTGCCTCTTCTCTCTCCAGCTTGCTCCCCTGGACTAGCTCTTTTGTGACTTTTGGTTGGATGAGAACCTATGTTCCGTTGATCCTACCACTTTTCACTGTCTCCTACTCTGTCTATAAAACACTCCTTCTTTGGCCAGTTTAGACATGGAGATTCACCCCAACTACTGTCCTGCCTCCACCTTCCTGTCTGCCTGCTCACTGCCAACTGCCACAACTGCCAATGTCATTTTTTTTGAGACAAGGTCTCTGTGTAGCCCCAGTTGATCTGGAACTTGCTATGTAGACCAGGCTGGCCTCGATCTCACAGAGATCCACCTGCCTCTGCTGAGATTAAAGGTGTGTACAATGTCTCCCACACTCTGTCAATTGCCTGGTGAAACCTCAACACTAATTCCAGTGTATTCTGTGGTTGCATCCACGTGGGAAAACATGGCTGAAGGAATGGCCTGGAGGTGAACGGCCTTGTTGAATGACTTGACTCTTCAACACACAGGAGCACTCAGTGCTGCCTGGCAGTGACCGGTGTCCCTATCCCAACCCCCAGCCTCCTAGATGATTATTTCATCTGATCTCCACCAAATTCTGCATCTTCTTGCTTAATGCTCAGCTGTGAAAACGAGCTCCTGACTAACACAGAGCTACGCAGGCTGCATTGTATTAAAAAACAGAGAGATCTGGGGAGAAGCTGCAGAAAGTTGGATTCTGGAGAGAGACATTTAAAAACAGATACCCCCCCCCCCCAGAAATTTGGGAGTGACTGTCCCCTATTGGTGCTATTTCAGAGGACGTCCTTGAGGGCTTAGATGATGCATTTAAACTGCATTCCTGTTTCTTTTGGCACTCTGAGTGTCTGGCATCTCTTCTATCAGTCTGAGGCTCTGATAGAGCAGGATGTGCGTCTTGGTCTGTTCAGGTTGCTTTAACACAGCACCATAAATAAACTGTGAGTCTTGAGAACAGCGGAGATTCATTCTTGCCATTGTGTAGGCTGGGAGGCCAAAGGGGCTGGCAAATTCCCTGTGTGGGAAGCCGCTTTCAGGCTCATAGGTGGTGGTTTTTTGCCGTGTTCTCTCATGGCAGGCGAGAAAAGGAATGCTCTGGTCCCCTTTGTAAGGGTACTGATCCCATCATGAGGCTCCACCCTCATGACCTAATCTCCTCCCAGAGCACCATTATCTTAGTGATTAGAGTTCAACTGAAGCATTTTGGGAGAAAGCAGACATTCAAACTATACATTGGGTCTGTCCTGGTCACCACCATGTTCCCAGCACAACACAAGCCACAACATTTAGTACATAGTTACTGAATTAAACTACAGGGAAAATTAATCAATGGGCTAATTTTGTCTCCCCCCCCACCCCCAGTTTTAGATAAGGGTAGGAGTGATTTTTGGATTACTAAAGAAAATGAACATGGGCTGGAGAGATGGCTCAGCAGTTAAGAGCACTGGCTGCTCTTGCAGAGGACCCATGTTCAATTCCAAGTACCCACTTGGTAGCTAACAACTGTCCCTAACTCCAGTTCCAGGGGAGTCCAACACCTCCTTCTGACCTCCATGGGCATTGCACGACACAGTGCACTTACATACATGCAGGCAATACACTCATACACTAAAATAAAAATAAAATATTTTTTTTAGAAAAAGAAAATGAATATGCTCTATCTGTTGATGATCACAATCCATGGGGCCATGAATTTTCTCTGCAAGGGCAGGCCTTCAGGGGTCCCAGTGGGAGCAGGAGGAGTATTCTGGAGCCAGGTAGCGGGGAGAGGCAGAACTGTCACATACATTACCTCCACACTCAGGCTGGGAGCCACTCCACGAGCCATTGGCTTGGCATGTTCGCTCTGAAGATCCCCTGAGCACGTGACCAGCTTCACAGCTGAAGCGCATCAGACTGCCAGGGGCAAAGCTGTCTCCTAGACGGATGCCGTGGGCTGGGATCCCTGGGTCACCACAAAGTCCTGTACTGGTTCCTATGGAAGAGAACACAGCAAATCCTGAGGGGTTTTGTTTGTTTGTTGATTTTTATAGAAGAAAAGGTCTCAGAGGTCTGAAAGAGGGAAAGAGATGGACTGTCGCTGAGGGGAAGTAGTGGGCCGTAGGGATGATGGAGGTGACAAAGGACTACGCCCAGCCCATAGTGCTTGGACAGGTTCTCCCTCACTACAGTGGTCAGAACACATTGATATGAGGCCCTGGCTAAGTCCCTGGGAGCCACACAGGATGGGGAGCGCTTGCCAGGCTGGAACTCCAATGGTCCAAGCTGCACATCTCCTGTTTCCCTTGTCACCTTATCCCCTCACCACAGCTGCTGACTCACGGTGCCCTCTCTACCTTCAGGACCATTCCTTGATGACTTAGACACTCATTCCACATCTTAGCCCGAATGACTACAGGTGTCTCCCAACTAAAGTCTTTTTTTCTTAATCTCTCTGAGTTTAAGCCTCCAAGCTCAAAAATGAATAATCATTGGCCTTGTTTCTTTCCTGCAGGAACATCTTTGGGAGCATCTTGGTATTGATTGAGAAAACAAAACCCAAGCTCCTTAACCTGGTTTTACCTTCCAACTTGATCTTAGCTTGAGCTTGATCTCAGCCTTTATTTACTTATCTTCTATTACTTTTTAAAAATCTCTTTCTCTCTATCATCTATCTATCATCTATCTATCTATCTATCTATCTATCTATCTATCTATCTATCTATCTATCTATCTATCTATCATCTATCTGTCATCTATCTACTAATCTTTGTTGCAAGGAGCCAGTCTATCATCAATCAATCAATCTATCTATCATCAATCTATCTATCTATCATCAATCTATCATCTATCTATCTATCTATCATCTATCTATCTATCTATCTATCTATCTATCTATCTATCTATCTATGTCTATCATCTATCATCTACCTGTATCTCTTTCATCTATCAATCTATCAATCTATCTATCTATCTATCTATCTATCTATCCATCCATCCATCCATCCATCATCACCTACCTATCATGTGTGCGTGTGTGTGTGTATGTGCACGCGCATGTGTGTGCAGGTCAGAGGATGGCCTGTAGGAGTCAGTTCTTTCCTTCCACCATATGAGTTCTGGAGATCAAACTCAGCTTGTCAGGCTTGGCGACAAGCCTTGACCTCCTGAACCATTTCAATGGCCCTTTGCTCTATTACTTTTTTTTGTTTGAATTTTTTCTTTTTTTGGAGACAGGGTCTTCCTGTAGCCCCAGGTGATCCAGAACTCGCAGTACAGACCAGGATGGCCTCAATCTCAGCAATCCATCTGCCTCTGCCTCCTAAATGCTGGGATTAAAGGCATGTGCCACCACTTCCAGACTCTATTACTTTTTAAAAGTTTCATTTTTAACTGAGAAGTAATAATTGATAAATAATAACAATAGTTGGGTAAAGTGGTGTTTTGATACCACTATGTTCTTGTGAGGAAATGATAACTATTTGGGGTGATTAAATCTGGTCCTTTAATTGAGGATTCTCTACTCACAAATTATACACACACGAACTATGGACTGAATGCCCTACACCCTGTCACTTCATTTCGGCCCCGTCCCTTTGGTATGCTACATTCCCACATTTATCTAGACCTTGACATTTTACAAACCCGCTCAAGAGAGCGCTGAAGGATCCAAGAGCTAAGAGGACAGACAACAGGAGATGGAGCCACAGGACTTAGTGCCTGAGGGAACCAGCAGCTTCCCTATTACAGAGACACATGGAGCCCAAAGGAGAAGGATGATGGAAAAGTAGTATCTATCTCCCTATGAGCCCACATGTGTGGGCACTGAATGGTAACATCTGAGCTCACACTGGATTTTCTGGAGGAAAAAAAATGTTACTAGGCCCATATATTTTCCCTTTTACCCTTGATGACTCGTGCAACTTAGCCTTGGAATTATTTTTCTAAGTCTAGTCTCAGACTGTGGGAATAGGAAGTAGCCCATGTTCCCTATTCTGCTCCAAGGAAGGGGATCTCTTCAACCTTCAAATGAAATATTTGGTCTTTTTGAGACAGGGTTTCCCTGTAGCCCCAGCTGGTCTGAAACTTGCTGTGTAGACCAGGCTGGCCTTGAACTCACAGAGATCTGCCTGCCTCTGCCTCCCAAGTTCTGGGATTAAAGGCACCCAGCTCAAATGAAGTATTTGAAAAAATAGAGAGCCTGTTACACTTGGCTAGTTTTTCTTGTCTGTTAAGAGTCTGACAGGGTGAAGTATATGGAGCAAGCGAGGCTCTTGCAGGTGACCCACCCTGATGGTGAGTGGCTTAGTCTCCACATTGACTAGCTGACTTCAGCTAATCAACACTACTGTAAGCAGGCAGTTCCAGCTCCAGGCAGTTCCAGCGAGACGACCCCTCACTGTACTGTTGGGGGCCTGCTTCAGTGCTATAAGGGAGTCTGGGCAGAACACTGCTCCATGCGGACAGATACAAAGATGGTGACTATTTACAGAAAAGGCACATTGGCAGAGATGGTAAAGACCTGAAGTGGGTCTCAAACCCTTGGTCAGGGATTAAGGACTTAAAGCTCAGGAAATTTTGTTATGTATTATCTGGGTTATTGATTGTACAGGATGAGACTCAAAAGTCTGAGCTGGAATTCTTGCATGTCATAAGGAATATGAGAAGCAGATGTTTCTGCAAAAGGCGTCAGTAAGGTTCACTCAGCTAGGGAGGAGCTGTGACTACTCGGTCCATCGGCGCATACCCTCAATTACTTCCCGAACACCTTCTCTTCTTATCAAGGTATTTAGGGCTCATTCATTCCCCAGCCTTGCTACTTTAAAAACTATTTTAGATTCATTTTTTGTTTTATGCATGTGAGTGTTTTACCTGCATGTATGTAAGCACACCCTTATGTGCAATGTCTACAGAGTCCTGAAGAGGATGTCAGATCTCCTGGAACTGGAGTTACTGATGGTTGTTAGCCACCATGCAGGTGCTGGGAACTGAACCTGGGTCCTCTGCAAGAGCAGTCAGTGCTCTTAACCACTGAGCCATCTCTCCAGTCCCTCATTCCCCAGCCTGAGCACTTATATCTTCTCTTCTAATTTGGTTAGAGGTTATCAAGAAGACTCAGCTTATGATCTTCTCAGTTACCGAGAAGACCATCTCATGATCCTGGTCTCATGAGTGTCTGCCGTCTTTGATGGGCATGTGAGAGAAATAAAATGCTTGATATTCTTCAATAATCAGGATTATTGAAGGGCTGACTGCACGTCCCGGTCCTCTAGGGAATGGGTTCCATGTCCTCTCAAGGTTCCTTTCTGGCCTACTTTTTCATGCCCAAGGTATCAACCTATTTTAATTTCTCTTAGGGGATTTTGATGCTACCAAAGAGGGCTTTCCACTTGCAGGAGGTCACAAACATTGAAACTACAGAGTCATAGGGATTTGAAAGTTTTCTAGCTTAGTTCTCTATCTCTGTAATATTTTTTGTAGCTAGCACAACTCTGGAGAAGGAAAGACTCTCTGGGCCAGAAGAAACATTCATTTCTATACTGGGGACCTGAAGAATGGCTGTGTGCTAATGAGTAGGAAGTTCTTGAAGTTTCTTTTGGTTTCTTTCTCCTTTACTCTACACTTCCCTTTCCATGGAGAACAAAAATACCCAAAATGGACCAAACAGACTTAAAGAACACTCATTGTCCCAGAGAAGTGTCTAGAAGGAAGAGCTGCACACAAGTATTATCACAAAAGGGATGGACAAATGCGTGATTGGCTCCATTTGCTTCTTTTAAATACCTTTTCCTTCTGGAACTTGCTCTGTGGATACCCAGGAGGCCTCAGCACACACAGCTCTGCCCTTCTGATTCTGTCCTCCAGTCACTTCCACTGGAGTTCAGAATACAGCAGTCAGGGGCCCGTTAGCAGGCCTTCCTCTGTTCAGGGTAAAGGTGCGCGCCTTTAGTGCCAGCACTCAGGAGGCAGAGGCAGGTGGATCCTCTGTGAGTTTGAGGCCAACCTGGTCTATAGAGTGAGTTCCAGGCAGCTGGAGCTACAGGGAGAGCTAAAGGGAGGCCCTGTCCCAAAAAAACCAAAAAAAAAAAAAAAAAAAAACAACGCCAAAACCAGGATCAACCACTCTTGTATGCGACATGCCCACATTTATCTGGCTTTTTAAAAGACAGGGTCTCACTGTGTGGCCCTGGCTTGCCTAGATCTCACTGTATAGATCAGGCTGGCCTTGAACTCAGAGATCTGCCTGCTTCTGCCTCCCAAGTACTGGGATTAAAGGTGTATGCAGTCATGCCCAGCTCTTATCTGGGCCAATGTGCTTCACAAGGCTGAGGGTCAAAGTCCTGCTGGTCCTATAGAGCTGTGTCTTGGATTGTTCTGGAAACCAGCAGCCCTGTTCTTTCTGGAGAGACCTAATGAAAATCGGATTCAACATTCTTAAATGCTGGTAGACAGGCTCTTCTAGGAATCTTAAACTGCAAGAAGAATCATGTGTCTTATCAGGAGACGGTTTCTCTGTGAGGATGAGGCTGGGATCTTTATCTTTAGGAAGGATCTGGCAGGGGAAAGGCTACAGAGTGAACTCAGTGGGAAGGTGGGCTCCCCGGGGAACCTCAAGCTACATAAGCAGCCATTCTCTGGAGGATTCCTGGGCAGGGTCATGTACTCTCATTCCAAAGAATACAGAGCTGTGTCAGCTCACGTTTTAGCTTGGTGGTTTCTGTTCTTGGGGACACAATTCACTTTCAAATATTTGTTGTGCAGCAGGACTTTATAGATGCATTTCTGGTTTGGAGAATATGGACACGGGAGCTCTGGGGGTTCCCTGCAATTCCTACTTCGAGTCTTCATAGAGACTAGTAGTGAAGTCAATAGAAAATGTCTGGGGACTGGTGTCTCAGGGTGGAAGACTGTGTGTCCCATTAGACAGCCAGGATATGGGACAGGTTGGGGTAGGTCCTAATGAGAGAGAAGAAGCAGGCTGGGGTCCAGGAGTCTGAAACAGGGAAGGAAAGATCACAAGAGTGGGTCTGGACCTGGACGCTCGTCCCCAGGAGCACATGGAGTTAGCTGTCTAGATAGGGCTGAGGTCACGGGTCGAATTCCCCAAGTTGTGCCTTTCCAAATGTTGAAGTCTCTTGGCTCTGTGGGCTTGGTCATCACTGACCAAGGGCTGGAGTGCAGTTGGGATTCCCATCTCTCTGTGAGTCAGGCTAAGGGCCTCAAAGCTGTGGTATGCTGGTACTAACGGATAATGGTCCTACCAGTCAATGAGCTATCAACCCCCTTTCCTGACACCATATTTCATACCTGAGCAGTGGGGGAGGGAGCCAGTCCAGTGTCCATCCAGCCCACACATGCGAGTGGCATTTCCCACCAGAGTCTGCTTGCCGGTGCAGCTGTAACGCACGACTGCCCCCACAGTATAGCTGTCTCCAGACATCTGGGCATGAGGCGGGGAGCCTGGATGGCCACAGGATACCACTGTGGGGAAAGAGTGAACATCTCAGCAGCTCTGTGGGGATGGACATCGTCACTCCACACATGCTTGCTGTGGGAGGTAGGGAAGGAGAGGAAACCTTGATATCTACTGGAGTGACCTTCCTGCTGGCTCATGCGTGGGCTATCAGCAGAACAAGCCTGCCCACTTCAACGCACTGCTTTCAAACCGGCCAAGCGAAGACTAATACCTCCTTAGCACATCACCAGTCACTTGCCGTTCTTTTACCTGTGCTCACTTCTCCCTATCTCCTCACTGCCATAGGATACACCCAAGATGTGCCTGAGCAGAAGGGTGGTCATAGAGCACACAAGACTTTAAAAATAGAAGCTGTGCCTCTGGGTCCTCACAGATCTTCACTGGCTCTTTTCCTTGCATCTCAAATTGGCCCATCAATCGTTCCCACCATGTCTCCTTCACTCTGAAATTCCTTTTCTTGAAACATCAAAGTGTAACTCTGAAGACCAGTGAGAAGATTAATTGATGATGGATCCCGGGATGGAGACGTACTGGGTGAGGGCACTGACACTGGGCTTGGCTTCCCGATTGTTACAGGTCCACACTTTCCTTTGTTCAGCACACACTTATTGAGTGTCTACTATGTGCTGGGCCCTGGAGAATAAAGCCCATCACTCTTGGAGCTTATATTCTAGTGGAGGAAGAGAGGCTTAAAAAGAAGACAGTGAATGGGTGGGGTTGTAAAACAATAAAGCTGCAAAGGGGAAAAGGTGTTTAGGATGAGGCAAAGGAGCTGCTTTTGAATAGAGTGGTCCAGGATGAGCTCTCTGCGCAGGTGACATGGACTTAAATAGTGTGACAAGGCCAGGGGCATGTCATCTGGGGAAGAACACTATGGAGGAGGGAATGTGAGGTATAATGGCCCGAGGCCAGAACTAACTTGGTACGTATATTGCTTTTCTTTTTTGCTATCACAAAATAGCTAACAAAAGCAATTTGAAAGAACTAGGGTTTATTTTGGCTCACAGTCTGAGGGGATCTGGCTCATCACTGTGGAGAAGACAATGAAGTATATGCTGCAGTCAGGAAGCGGAGAGTGGACAGAAAGTGCGGCCAGGCTACAGAACCTCAAGGTCGGGCCCCTGAGGCTCCACTTTCTTCAAGGTCCCGCAACCTTCCCTAACAGCGCCACCAACTGGAGACTGAGTGTTCAAACATGTGAGCCTGTTGGGGACAGTCCATACTCAAACCACAAGAATGTGTTTGAGGAAGAGCATGAAAGGGTTTCTGGAATAGATGAGCCAGGGAACAGTGGAAGAGGATCCAGGGTGGGGGCCACTGGGAGCCCAGGCCACGGCAGGATTTTATGCCACTAATGGAGGGAATGACTTGATTCACACTGTGCCAGGAACATTCTGGATGCTGCATGGAGGAAAAACCAGGGTGAGACAGGAAGGAGAAGCTGTTGCAGTAGTTCCAAAGAAGATGATGATGATTTTGATTGAATCTTGGGGTCTTCTGGGAGATCTTTGCCATCACTATAATTTATATCCAGACAAGGCACAGGGCATGGCATGGATGCTGACTAGGACGGGGGACCAGGGGTGCCTTGTTAGGATACAAACAATTTGAAGCCACTGGAGGCTCTGAAACTTGATTGGCATAGGCAGTGTCCACTCAGAACCCCAAACCACTTATCCGTACACGGAGCTGGACAGCCAGGTCAGGGTCCTCAAGCAAAGAAATGTGGGCAGTGATTAGCAGTCTCAGTTCCCTTGTATACCTAGAGGCAGGGCTTCAGATGGAATCACCCAGACTTGGAAGGCTTACAACAGGTTTATGACCCACAAAGACAGGTGGCACCTAGGTGTGGGCGGCCTGTTCTGTGGGCCGGGGTCCTGGACTGAATAAAAAGGAGAAAGGGAGCTGAATGCCAGCATCCATCTCCCTGCGCCCTGACTGGATGCAATGTGACCGCAGCCTCAATTTGCACCATTATGCCTTCCCTGCCAAGATGGATGGTCCCTTCAAACTGTCTTGCCCAAGTAAATCCTTCCTTCCTTAAGCTGCATTTGTCAGATATTTTGTTGTGGCAACAAGATAAGTAATGGATACATATTGTGTTTCTGGCAAAACCAGAAAAGGGTAAAATAAAGACATGATGTCCTGCTATGCAACCTTGAAAGTTCATGGCGGTACGAGCGAGGATGGGGAACAGCCTCTGGCTGAGACTGCACGTGAATTAGTGTGGCACTTCTGCAACAGGAGCTCAAGAAAGGCCCTGATGTCCAAGGAACAGCCAGTGACTACTGGGAGAGCGCAGCATGCACGCACATATATGAACACACAGAGGGGAGGAGTTCTATGACATGTACCATCCGCCAGTCACTTGGAACAGATGGATCTACTTACAGAGACACTGTGGGCGGGGTCGGTCCCAGGTGCCATCTCCCTGGCAGCTGAGCACAGGAGTGCCCAGGAGGTAGAAGCCGTGGTTGCACTGGTAGGACACGGTGGTCCCAAAGCTGAACCTGTGGGGACCGCTCGCATGGACCTGTCGGACGCTGTTCTCTTGGTGGCCGGGATCCGTACAGTTGATGACTGCAATGGAATGAGACAGTGAGATGCAGAGATCTCAAGCAAGCTTTGAAGTGAGAATTCAGAGGTTTACAGACACTATGCCCAGCCCAATAACGTCTCCAGACGAAAGCTGGTGACCAAAATGAATCCTGCCCAAGAAGTAGCGCTGGTTCTGATGCTGCAGCCCTTCTGCCCTGCCTGTCACATGGGCACAGATTCAACCCCCATGTCCAGGTGGCCATCGCCTTCCCCTGAGGACCCTGCACCTTCTTCTGGACCACTCAGCCCCCCACTCTCTCTCTCGGATTTCCATGCGTGAACTTCTAGTGCTGTCTACCAGCCTGGCCTGACATGTTCCAGTGGTGATGGGCAGCCTGGGTTGACAAGTCTCAATACCTCGAGGCCATGGCTGTCTTGCCTCTGCAGGCCTGATCCCTGACATAATGTGGCTCTCTCAGCAAAGCACAGCCATTGTAAAATAGACACATCTGACTTGGTTTGTATGGTACTTGGAATTTTTCTGAAACTGTTTTAATCACTTTTATGAGTATCTCAAGGAGACATTAGTACCCCAGAGGACTCAATTAACTTTAAAATGCTCAGGAGTTTCCAAAGCAGCTTTAGTTTAGAATAATACAATATTATTCATAACCCATAATAAGTACTTTTGCTTTCAAACAGAATCTTTCAAACAGTACTTTAGGGGGTTGGAGAGATGGCTCAACAGTTAAAACACTGATTACTCTTTCAGAGGACCTGGGTTCAATTCCCAGCACCCACATGGCTAATAATCATCCATAACTCCAGTTACAGAGGAATCCAACTCCCTCTTCTGATCTCACTGGGCATTGCACAACATGGGTGCACTTACACATATGCAGGAAATATACTCATACACATAAAATAAATAAAAATAATAGATAAAATATTTTTTAGATAACATATTTTTAAAAACAGTACTTTTATATTTATCATCTTACCTGAGTCTCATATTCATAGATTAAGATAGGCAGGAGAACTACAGGCACTTTTTTCCTCTTTGATGTGAGATATTCACTTTACTATATACATTTTTTTGTTTGTGTTTGTTTATGTGTATGTGGGGACACATGTGTATGGGTGTGTGTGCATCTGAGTGCGTGTGTATGTAGAGGTCAGAGGATAACCTCAGGTGTTATTTCTTAGGCATGTCCACATTTTAGAAATGTGTATTTGTATGTATATATACCAATATGCATTTGTGTATGTGTATGTTTGGGTGTGTTTATACATGTACTTGGAGGCTGGAGGACAACCTCACATGTCATCCTCAGGATCACTGTCTACCTCCTCTTAGACAGCCTCTCATTGGCCTTTGGGCTAGACTGGCAGGCCCGGGAGCCCGTGGGATCCACCTGTCTCTGCCTTTGCCATGCTAGGATAAGCACACCATCATACCTGGCTTACTTTTTCTTTGGCATGGGTTCTGGGGGTCCAACTTAGGTCCTCGTGCTTGTGAGGCAGCTGCTTTACCGGCTAAGCTGCCTCCCTTGCCCTAAGGTATTTACTCTTTGATGAGTATCTCAGAGATTTCACCCCTATACTGCTGTAAGAAGCCCTTAAAAGCTTAGAGGTTACTTCCTGAATGGTCCAAACAGTCCTCTGCCCAGGCTACTTCTTGAGTCTTTGGGTTCTCCTTTGTGTCTTTTACTTCTGTCCCTGCCTCTTCATCACCACTCTTAGATTCCAAAATTTCCTCATCATTAGGATCTGCTGAATATGATTACAAAAGAGCAACAGCAACAATTTTGAGACCAGGAGGAGAGCTCAAAATGTTGTTCTTGATCTCATTGAGCAGGTATGGCAATGACACTCCTTCTAAATTCTTGTGTGTGTGTGTGTGTGTGTGTGTGTGTGTGTGTGTGTGTGTGGTGTGCGTGTGAGTGTGTGTGTATGAATGGGTGGGGCTTTACATGATGATAATAAATTCTTGTTCTATGAACTAATAGGATTTACAAGATGAAACTAGCATTTGATTTCCTTATAGAACCCATGACGAAATTTTTCTTGGCCATATCTGGGGATTGAGAAAATCCCCATTTGTGACTTTTTTCTGTCTCAAGTCTGTGTCCAAGGCAGAATAACATTAGGACTGAATTTGGTGGCTTTTGCTCCTGGGCTGCAGAAGCTCAGAAAGCTGAGGTCTTGGGGAGTTGGGCGGGAAGGGCGACTCACTTCTGCAGGTGGGGAGCGTGTCACTCCATTGCCCATTGGCCAGGCACTGGGACCTAGCAGCCCCCTCGGCTATGTACCCTGGGTTGCAAACAAACTTGACCACGTCATTGAGGTTGAACTGGCTTCCCTGAGTGAGGCCATTGACTGGGTTGCCTGGGTGTCCACAGGTGATTGCTGTAACCAAAACAGAAGACAGGTGAGCCCACCTACCATTCCACAGGGCCCACCCCCCATCCTCACTGAGGTGATGGGATGAGTGGGGGGGCATGCTTTGTTGGGGATGCAGATCTGTGAACGTGCTAACATTCTATGCCAAGTGTTGGGTTCATGCAGCCAGCATGTAAGGGAACTGCTGCTTGTACCACATTGGCAAAGGATCATGACCCTCCATTCCAAGGTTAAAAACCATTCATCGAAACAGAGAAGTCTAAGGAGGAACATCTCAGCAACACCACCTTTTTTTTTTTTTTTTTTTGGTCTTTTTGAGCCAGGGTCTCCCTGTAGCCCCAGCTGGCCTGGAACTCACTATGTAGACCAGGCTGGCCTTGAACTCACAGAGATCCGCCTGCCTCTGCCTCCTGAGTGCTGGGATTAAAGGTGTGTGCCACCACACCCAGCTGGGAACACCACCTTTTAAAGGCAGATAGACAAAGAAGCCTGCAAAGGTTATTCAGGGTTGGGGGTCAGAAGTGGAGCCCAGCAAAGTTCAGTGAGAGTAGTGTCATAGGAGCCAAGAGGACCATGCCAAGCTATGTCAGGTACACCAACAAGTCAAGTAAAGAGGGAAGAGCATCTGACTGGGGTCACTGCTGACCTTGGTGTGTCTTCAGTGGCATGGTTTGCACTGCTTACTGCCTCCCAGTTACTCCCAGGCCCTGTCTGAGTATAACAGGAGTAACTTTCATGCAAGCTCTCTATGCCCTCAGGCTCATGTGCCCCCCGACTTCTGCTCCAAAGCTTTGATATATCTTGTCTCCTACCCTGCAGCTCTCAGCAGCAGGGCTCAGAGAGGACTCTGCATCATAGCTCAGGACCAGGGGTTCCTGTTATGGGAAGGTTTTTTTTCAGGTTGGAACAGGGAAGTGGTGGGGCAGAATGTAGGTAATAAGGGGATCGGTAGAAACTAGATTAGGTAGCTGTGATGGTTAACTTTTGACTGTCAACGTGGTTGATAGAGAATCACCTAGGAGATTGGAAAAGCACATCTCTGCTTGCATCTGTGAGGGCATGTCCACAGATCATGAGGGCTCTGACCTAATAAATGGATTAATCCCTTGGTGGAGTGATAATATTATAACAATTGGGAGATGGTGAAAAGTAAGAGGCTGGGTCTAGCTGGAGGAGAGATAGGTCATCAGGGCTTGTCCCCAGAGCTCTGTCTTGCCCTGGCTTCTTTCTGTATTCCCTTTCTCTGCTTCCTGGCGTCATGATGTGAACTGCTTAGCTCCTACCATCATGGATGGAAACTTATGAAACCATGAACTGAAATGAATCTTTTAAGTTGTTTATGTCAGGTCTGTCCATCACAGAGATGAAAATCCCAACTTTTCACCTGTTACTTTTAACTAAGTCTAACAACGAGTATCTTTAGGTCAGGTAGACATTCTCTATCCAGACCCTAGCATCCTCCACTATTATATAACTCTCTTTAAAGCACCAAATGCCAGTTTCCTGCAGGCATTTGCATTTGAATCTTTGGGATGAAATGAACATGTTTTATTTAGAAATATCTGCAAGAATGCTGGACAACTCTGGCTTTCTGTAAAGCAATACTTAAGAAGTCACTAAGAGCTACACAGGGAGTCTCATCTTTTAATGGACTGCTGCATATGAGGAGCCAAGGGAAAAGGAAGGATTAAAAACAAAATTTCCCTTATATCAGTTAAGAACAAATCCCTTGCATTTTACATAAAAGCTCACTTTAGGGAACTTTAAAAAGTAAAGAATTTTCCAAATTACTTGTAGGCAGCCGAGGATAATGGTGGCTCTCTAAATCCCCCCCCCCCTCAAATGCAAATTAATAAGAACAAATAAAAGAGTAGAAAATCCAGGTCTACAGCAGCCCACAAAACAGAGACTGCCACAAACTTTTGAATTGTTTGGAAGCAGAGGATTGAAGAAGAAATCCAGGCATTGTTAGCCAGAACTAGTACTTACAACTAGAATCCAAGAAAATGCTTGGGAAGTGAAGACTGGAACCTACATATTCAGACACACAAAATACCCAGGGAAACTGTCATGGAGCAGTCAACGCTGAGGCATAGCCTAGTGAAAATGTTAGTCTTTAAAGAATGAAAAATTGCTGGGCGTGGTGGCACATGCCTTTAATCCCAGCAATTGGGAGGCAGAGGCAGGCGGATCTCTGAGTTCAAGGCCAGCCTGGTCTACATAGTGAGTTCCAGGACAGCTGGGGCTAAAGGCAGACCCTGTCCAAAAAAACCAAAAAAAAAAAAAAAAAGAATGAAAAATCAGAATCCCCCCATGAAAACTATCAAATAACTTACTAAGAATAGAATTAAGATAATACTGTAATTCTTTTTATTTATTTTAATACTGTAATTCTTTTTTAAAAAATATTTTATTATTTTTATGTGTATGAGTTTATTGCCTGCATATATATGTGAGTGCACCCATGTCATGCAATGTCTGTGTAGGTCAGAAGAGGGCTCTGGATCCCCTGGAATTGGAGTTACTGATGGTTGTTAGGCATCATGTGCATGCTGGGAACCAAACCTAGGTCCTCTGCAAGAGCAACCAGTGCTCTTAACTGCTGAGCCATCTCTCCAGCCCCAATACTGTAATTCTTTCTTTTTAAAAAAATATTTCTATTTATTATTTTCATTTTATGGGTATGAGTGTGTAGCCTGCATGTATGTGAGTGCACCCAAGTCCTGCAATGCCACGGAGGTCAGAAGGGGGCTTTGGATTCCCCTGGAACTGGAGTTAAGGACGGTTCGTAGCCGCCATGTGGGTGCTAGGAATTTAACCCGGGTCCTCTGCAAGAGCAGTCAGTGCTCTTAACCACTGAGCCATCTCTCCAGCCCCCAATACTGTAATTCTAAGAGTGAATATTTAAGTGGAGTAGAATGGTGGCTAGTAGGGGCCAGTGTCAAGGGGGAAAGGAAGATGCTGGTTCAAGGGTTCAAAGATGGAAAAGATGGAGTGATACAGGATGGGTATGTGCATAGATACACAGCACCATGGCTATAGTTAATGATACTATGCTGTATATTGGAAATTTCCCAAGAGAGTAGATCTCAGGTGCCCTTACCACATACACCCAGAGGAGAGCAGATGACAGAACAATATTTTAATTGATCTAACTGTTGTCATCATTTCACTATGCACATGCGTACCAAAGCATGCTTAAATAAGCACTAAGGTAACACACACACACACACACACACACACACACACAGAGACACAGAGAGACATAGAGAGACACAGAGAAAGCAAAAATAATGTACTAAATTTTTTTAAAGAAAAATCAAAGAAATAACATATGAACAAGGATTTTATGTCCAATCTAGCCACTTTTCAAGTTATTGGGTACAGAAAAACCAGTTTACAGTTTTAAACATGCAAGAACGTTGTATGTGGTGGTTGTGCTGTTATCCCAGCACTCAGAAGGAAGTGGGATTGCAAACTTGAGACCAGTCTGGGCTACACAATGAGACCCTGTCCTAAGATACCCAAATGCCAAGGGCTGGGGGTATAGCTCAGTAAGAAAGTCTATTGTGCATAAAGTCATGGGTTCAATTCCCAGCACCACACATACAGACAGAGAAAAAACAAAATAAAAGAGAACAAAACAAACAAAACAACAAAAACCACACCATCACCAATGATAACAAACACATTCTGCAAAGGATCTTATTAAAAATTCTCCTAGAGGCTGGGGGCTGGAGAGATGGCTCAGTGGTTAAGAGCACTGACTGCTCTTGCAGAGGACCCAGGTTCAATTCTCAGCACCCACATGGTGGTTACAAACTGTCCTTAACTCCAGTCCCAGGGGAATCCGAAGCCCTCTTCTGACCTCCACAGCATTGCACGACACAGGTGCACTCACATACACGCAGGCAATACACTCATACACATAAAATAAAAATAATAATTTTTAAAAATTCTACTAGAGGCTAAACTTGGCGTTGATAAGAGATAACTGGAAAAACTTCATCAGTGTTGGTGACATGTTTAATTGTAGATCTAAGAGTAAAGAAAAAGTGGGGGAAAGAATAGAATCATAATATATAAAGTATATGATAAATGTTTTACATCCTGACAAAGTGGAAATAATGCAACAGAAAACGAGGGACAGAAGAGGGGAACAGAGCAGAGAATAAGCTCATGGATTTCTGTACAATCAATATGTGAAAGTCTAAGGACACTTACATTGGTAAACTAGATAATAAAGGGTTAAATAAAAAACCAGGGAACTGATGGCTTTAAAATTTTAAGAGGACAGAAGTAAACAACAGGCAAAGATCCAAATTTTCTTAAATGGCAAAAGAAATGGAAAAAAAGTAAAGAAAACATCATAATTACATAAAGCATGAACTAGGACCAAGCATATAAGATGTATCATTACACATGAATGAGTTTAACCTACTAACAGAAGATTTTCATGTGGGCTCACAAGGCAAAGCCAGACTTAATGCTTCATGGAAGAACCCCATTTCATTTCAGACATGCACCTGTTATTCAGGGGATGGTCAAAGCATGCTAGTTGACGTTCTAAAACTGAAAGCTGGAAAAGTAAAAACCAAGCTAAAAAATATTAGGAGTGATAAAGAAGATATTTTTAAAGACCAAAAGTCACAATTTGCAATGGAGATATAACAACTCTGAATCTCTATGCACCAAATGACACAGCAACTGCCTTTATATAGTAGAACCTAGAGGAAATGTAAGGAAAATTAGAAACACACTGACAACAGAAAACTTTAAACACATTTTTCAGAACACAGGTCAAATGGGCAAAACAGTAAGGAAGAACATAGAGGGCACGATTTAGAAAGTATGTATCTTAGGAGTATATATTCATATATATGGTAGAATTACAGCAAAATGGACCATTATAACAATTGATCAAACATTAAGTCACAAAGGAAGCACCAGTAAGCTTAATGAAACGGAAATATTGTGTACAACAAATATAAAATAAGAGGAAAAGGCCGGGCGTGGTGGCGCATGCCTTTAATCTCAGCACTTGGGAGGCAGAGGTAGGCGGACCCTTGTGAATTCAAGGTTGGCTTGGTCTACATAGTGAGTTCCAGTACAGCTGGGGCTACAGGGAGACCCTGTCTCAAAAAGACCAAAAAAAAAAAAAAAAAAAAAAAGCAAAAAAGACTTTTTGGTTTAGAAAATTGAAAAATTTCTTCTATTAAAATCTTTCAGGTGGAAGGAAGCAATTAGTGCCAAATTACAAAACTTTTAATAAATAATAAACATCACTTATTAATATGTATGATATAATTAAAACAGCTGAGAAGAAATTTCACAGCTTTGGGGCTAGAGAGATGGCTCAGTGGTTAAGAGCACTGGCTGCTCTTGCAGAGGACCTGGGTTCAATTCCCAGCACTCACATGGTAGCTAACAACTATTCCCAGTTCCAGGGAATCCAACATCCTCTCTGACCTCTATGGGCATTGTACAACACAGGTGTACTCACATATATGCAGGCAATACACTCATACACATACAAATAAATAAAATAAAAAATACTTATGTTCATAAATATAACACAAAAGGAAAGAATGACAATAAATGAATTAAGTACTCAGCCCCAAACTAGGAAACAAGCAAAAAAGTCAATCAAAAGAAATCACAAGGAAATAATAATGGATAAGACCGTAATTAATGACACAGAGACCCATAAGCAGTAGATGTAGTGATATCCTTGGGGGGAAAAAAAGAACAAATATACAAAACCTCCAGCTAACATAACCAAGAGAAAAAGGGAGGAAGTCCATGTTGACTCTGAGCCCCAGGACTAGGGAGAGTGGATGACATACTTACGCACACAGAACGGGGTCTTGCCCGACCAGTGATGATCCTGCTGGCAGATGCGCACAGACATGCCGATCAGGCGGAAGCCGGCGCTGCACTGGTACACCACGCTGCCCCGGTAGTTGTAGTTCTCCCCGTTGATGTGCCCATTGACAATGGGCTCAGGAGTCCCACAGTGCCCAGCTTGGTGGGATGTAGAAAGACAGTGAGTCAAAGAGGGACTTCTAGAAAGTGAGGCAGAGCTGGGGTGGGGCAGGAGAGAGAGGAGTGGTGGGGAAGAGGACCAAGCACCCAGCCACCCTTTATTTTCCCACCTTCCCCTGGAAAACAGTGAACCAGGAGTGACTTTGGGAATCCTGGATGTGATAGAAGTGGTGTTGAGGGCTCGGTGACCTGTAGTGTCAAAGCTGCATTCCAAATAGCCATCCATTACTGAGCTTTGGTTTCTGTGACTGCACAGGTGGGAAGTTATCACTGTTACCTGTCTCTGGGATTGCTATGGTTTGAGTAAGTCCCCATAGCCCTCTGTGTTGAAGGCTTGGTGCCTACCAGGAGGCAGAAAAAAATGTGTGTGTGTGTGTGTGTGTGTGTGTGTGTGTGTGCGTGTGTGTGAGAGTGGTGTGGAAGCTAGGTCATCCCTGTAAAGCAGATTTCCTCTGTCTTTCACTCTTGCTAGGATACATTGCTTCATCATAGCCAAAGACAACGGGGGCCAAGTGATCATGGACTGAAACCTTTGAATCTGTGAGCCAAGATAAACCTTTCTTTTCTATAAACTCATTATCCCAGACATTTTGTCATAGTGCTGGAAAGCTAACACAGGGGCCTGAGTATCTACTACCTAAAAAGCACCCCTGTCTAATTAAGGCTGTCAAAACCTGTCCTGTTGGAAACAGTCACACACAGATGGTTGGGCCAAACTCCTTTTTGAGTGGCACCTCAGAGCGTTGTTTCTATTAAGTGAAGCTTGGGTACCATACATTCCTGGCATTCCTTAGAACTCTTTGGTTTTATGTAGCAATAACTTATAACTGTCCCCAAGACAGTGGCCATTGGCCATATACTCCCACATCCTGGAGCCCACCAACATGTGTACCAGGGACAGATCATCAACCTCCATTAGGTTTGTGTGGCTGGCTGAGATCTTCTTTAGGAACTGAGAGGCCCCAGAAAAGAGTAGAGAGAAAACTTAGAACCTAAAGCCCAGACAGGAAGTACATGAACCATGGGAAAGATGAGAATTTTCTCCTCTTCAAGCTCACAGTTACATGCTATGTCATTTGCTTAGTATATGAAAATGTGTGTATTATAATTTACATGCATGCATACATATATATTTTAAAATACTTTTCTAATATATAATAGAAAGGCTATTTTAGGTGCATTACAGGAATGGGTATCTGTAGAGTGGAAGACAGGGCTAATTCATCATGCAAGGGCTAGTAAGATGGGTTGTTTTTCTGATTAGAATGTGAACTGAGAGATCAGTCTCATCAGACTTGAAGTTCTTTCTTCTGAGTTCCCCATAAAGGGTTTTAGTCTTGGTAGATGCCTGACAGTTGATGCTTGGAATAAGTACTTTTTGAGAGTAGGCGGGCAGGGTGGGCCTGGGGAAGCCACTCACCAAGGCAGCGAACTTCAGATCCGCTCCAGAGCCCACTGGCCATGCACTCCCGCACCCTGGAGCCCACCAGCGTGTATCCAGAATTGCAGGAGAAGATGGCGGTCGCCCCATAGACAGACATCGTTCCAATGCGGTGTCCACTTGGGGGTGTGGGGAGCTCTCCACAGGAGATGACTGAAAAGATCAAAAAATGGTCAATAAGCCAGTCCCAAGAGCGGGGACAGAAGATGTGGTGGTGCATCTGATGAATGAGAATAATAACCAAAACAAGACCTGCCTAACCTTCCTCTCCTAGCATATGACCAGAACGTGCTGACACTGGCTCATGTGATGTGATGCCCTACCTTAGGTGTCCCCACAAGCCCTGGAGGAGCTGCTGATGTGCCCAGGCTCCACTCCAGATGTGTAACCCCCAGTCTCTGGAGATCAGGCTTAGGCTTGTGTGTTTGTTAAGAAGTCCTCAGGGGGCTGAGGTAGCACCATGGTTAGGAAGAGATGACGAATCTGTGGTGTGTTACTCATTGCTCAGGGCAGACATTGATATAAGTCTTGTCCTTTCCTGCTGATCCTAGTGGTAGCCTCACACCCTGTCTCAACAGAGCATGCTGACAGCCTCTGGTTGATGTACCAAGTAAGGTCTGATCGTCAAGGCTGCACTGCAGTGAGGCTGGTCCACATGTGTGACTGTTACTCTGTCACTGTGGAGCCCGTGCCTTTCCCTTCCCTCCTGAGATTACCCCAGGAGCACGCCCTAATCCACCTCTGTCTTGGGGACCACTGGCTTTTGAGACCATGTCAAAGAACCAAAGAAAAGCAATTAACAATGGAGGAGGGGCAGACTGGCTTAGGTGGCCTGTCCTTCTTGCTGTCCTCATTCCTCCGATAAATATCCCAGTTGCAGATCTTATCAAACACTACATTGTCTTTTTTGTCTTGTCTCCCCAATAAACCATAAGATTCTAGGCAGGCAGAAGTTACACTTTTTGTTTTAAATCCTGGTGTGTGAGGGTGGGTGGGAACAGAGGAGGAGGCTGCATTAGTGTTATGGTGCACGTGTGGAAGTCAGAGGACAACCTCTGGGTGTCTCACCTTCTACTTTGTTTGCAACAGTTTAATTGCCTAAGTCAGGCTGGCTGTTGACCCATAAACTTCCAGGGATTTTTCCTGTCTGCCTCCCACCTCGCTGTAGGAACCTGGGGATTACAGATGTGTTCACCACCACATGCTGCTTTTACATAGGTTCCAGGGATCTGAACTCAGGTCTTCACACTTGCATGATAAGCTTTTTACCCACTGACTTATCTCCTCAGTCAAGCCACGTTCTTTTAATCTTTGTACCTTTCTAGTACCTGACACATAGCTGGGGTCTAATGAATGTTGAATAAATGAGTTGGTGTGTACTGGGCTGGACAGCTTATTAAAAGCCAGCTTTTTCATAAATTGACACCCTGTGAAGTAGCAAGCATGTCCCCAGCTTCTGATTGTAGGCGAGTGTCCAAAAAGGGGTATACTTCAATCCATGGACACTGCCTCCCTCAACTCACTTCATGGCTGACATGGTTCAGGTAGAATGCAGTGTGCTAACAGGCCCGCCCTCCTCTCCTGGGCTTACTTTGGCAGGTAGGCATAGAGTCCCCCAGGCTCCATCTGCCATTGGCCTGGCAGCGGATGACCCTCTGGCCGGTGTAGTAGTACCCAGGATCACAAATGAGCATCAGCTGAGCCTGGAACTGGTACTGGGTCTCAGAAATGAGCCTCCAACGGCCATGCTCCACACTGATGCTGCTGACATCGGGACAGGTCACAGCTGAGGGAAGGAGGAGAAGGAAAGAAGATTAGCTAAGTAGCTGTGGAAGAATTTGCAGGAATCTAGAGCTGGGGACTGAGAGGACTTGATGCAGGAATGAAGAATCCAGGAACATTCGGTTCCTAGGCAGATTTAGTAAATGAACGAAGAGGTTGGGGAGGAGGATACTGCAAGTTGGGAGTACAGATCTGCCAAAATGAAATAATCAAATAAGAAAGGCAAGACGTGCATCCTGGGAGCACTGCTTACCAGATGTAGGCTGCTTATTCCATTTGGTCAGACTTTGTTTTTTCATTGATGGCTTTGTTTCTTTTAGACAGGGTCTCATACAGTTCAGGATAAGAATGACTTTGAACTTCTGATCCTCCTATTTCTACCTCTGGAGTGCTGGGATTACAACCGCACACCACCGCACCCAGGTTATACAGTGCTAGAGATCAAGGCCAGGTCGTCTTGTTTGCTGGGCAAGCACCCTTATCAACTGAGCTACAGGCCCAGCTGGGGACAATAATTTTTTCAAGACAAGCCATAAGTCTGGATATCTATCTAAAATTTCTTGATTTTTAGACTCTTAAGAAGTAATTTATATACACATTATGAAGCAGAGCATAGAGAAAACAAAATCAAAACCTGTATCGCTGGACTAAATAAGGCCCTTTAGGTTGTCAAATTGTCTTCTGACCCCCAAATTGTCACTTCAGAGTTCCATGATTAAGGAATGTTCATGCATCTTTCTGACAGCATCCCCATCTAAAATGGAGTAGACAGGGACTTTTCTAAGTTCTGTGGTGATTTATGGAAATATCTCAAGGCATGGTGGTCCCTCAGTGTTCTGAGCATAACTTGTAATGGGGACCATGGTTGGTAGCCTCAACGCCCCTGTCCTCCTGAGTCCCCTGGCCTCCATGTGCAGACTTTGGCTCCACTGCTGGCCTTGAGCTCCCTCCAAGAAGGAATCTTTTCATCTTCAACCTAGCCCCCAACCCCCCGACACCTGCATCCACGGCCTCAGAACTCACGGACACATTGTGGGGGGACATTGCGGTTGCTCCACAGGCCCGTGTCCAGGCACTCGGCAGTGGTCTCGGCACCTGTCTGGAGGTGGTAGCCTTCACTGCAGCTGTATACAGCCTTGGTCCCCACCGTGTACTCCTTGCCAAACACCACTCCATTTTTGGGTGCATCAGGAAGGCCGCAGGAAAGAGCTGGCAAAGGAGAAAGGATGTCACAGGTGTTTCTTTTACTTTAAAAATATGAAAAATTAAACATTACTACACTTAAGAAGGAAACCAGTAGCATCGACATGGTAAAAATAAGACTAAAAAATAGGGTGGGCAGAGAAAAGCCCCCACAGGAAACAGCTAATTCAGGAAGCAGAAGATTGGGGGTTGTTGAGCAGGGTATGTCGAGATCAAGTGACGCATATTCATGGAATAAGTGAGTGTTTTGAAGAAAGAACAAGGAGAGGCTTTTTCACATTGTCAAAATGCGTGCAAGTAAAAGTATTAGATATTAAAACAACAAATTTCCCAGAACAAAGGCCCAAAAGACAGAGAGTGAAAACGAGAGAAAAGGACTAAAAACAGGATCAGTCCAGGAAGTCCAACATCCAACTGTTTGGAGTTCCAGAAAGAGAGAAGAGAAAGCAGGTGGGATGGGTTGATGGAACTATCCTCAGGAAAATTTCCAGGAGGTGAAGAAAGACACAAGGTTGAAAAGCAGCAGGGGGTACAGAGAGCACCACTGAGCGAGGTGGGGGACCCTACGAAGGACGGGGCTCAGGTGCCCACCTTCCAGGTGCCCAAAGAAACCGAACAAAGCCTTCAGACTTGTGAATGAAATGATTTACAACTGAGGATTTTATCTAGTCACCCTACTAAGCATATATGAGGGAAAGCTAAGGACACCTTCACACATTTAGAGGCTTACTGCTCATGACTCCTTTCTGAGAAGTTTACTTCAGGGCATTCCCCATCAAAAACAACATTGAAACAAGAAATGGCAAGACATGGCATATAAAAAACAGCACGGGCTTAGGATTTCAAAGAAAAGGAGCCTCAAGGTGATGCTTCTGGACACCTGCAATGCTGCGGCCAGGTCTTTGATTTTATATATTTATTGGAGGAAGATATGGGTAGAAAGATTAAAGAGAGTCAGAGTGTTCACTGCCACCTCTCACGTACCACCCCTAGTTGAGAGCTCAGGCCTCCTTCCCTTAGATCTGGAGTAACCTTGGGCAGAGGAATGGCCCTCAATACTGGCTAACAATGGTGCCTTGCTAAAACGTCTAGAACTAAGAAGACACATGAGACTAGGAGTCCATTATGATATGGGGAAAGTTGACTGTCCAGAGGTAGGTGGCTGGAATCCAAGATGGAAGGATTCAAAGGCTGGATGTTGAACCTAAAGAGGATCAGTTAGGAGCTCAGAATGAATGAGGAAGTAGGGAGAGTTAAACGCGAGGTTCATTTAATGTCCAGATAATAAGACCTTGAGTCAAAGTGGGACTAGGTTAGCCAAACCATCGTATCAGATAAACTAACTCTCTTGCTTCCTTGCACTCTCTGGACAGAAGTACTAGGTGTCCATGGATGTTCTCTTTGGAGAGTGGGACTTGGGGGAGGCACTGGCAAACAGTCCCTTTTCACAGACTTGGTGTGGCCCAGCTCATGTAGACAGCTGAGAAAGCAGAAGATAGCTCAACAGTCCAGAGGTAAGAGGCATGCTATGGGTAGGAAGGTAAAAGCACAAAGTGTTTGACGCTGTTGGTGGGATGAGGTGTCTGTGGGAGAGATGGTGCAGAGATGGATTTGAGACGGAGAGCTAGCAGTGAGGGGCAGGAGAAGGCCAGGGGAGTACACAGTTCTAATGGAGTTGGGGAGAAACCACAGCCTGGAAGCAGCCATAGAGAACAAACCAACTGCCAGGTCCTTCCACACCTGAGCTGTGCAAGAGAGGGTGGCTGTGGAGGATTAATACTCTCTATTTTATGTGTGTGAATGTATTGTCTGTATGTATATAAGTGCACTCATGTCGTGCAGTGCCTGAGGAAGTCAGAAGAGGGTGTCGGATCCCCTGGAACTGAAGTTACAGATGGTTGTTAGCCACCATGTGGGTGCTGGGAATTGAGCCCAGGTCCTCTGCCAGAGCAGCCAGTGCTCTTAACCACTGAGCTGTCTCTCAAGTCCAACACTCTCCACTTACAAAGGGTCACTGTATGTGTTTCTCAGGAGAGCCCCGGTCGTCCCTGTGGAGGGGGAAGTGAGCTGAGCAGCTGGGTGGTAAGTGAGGGTGTTTGGTTCTTGTTTGTGGAATCTGAATTCCAGAGAAGACAGCATCTGAGAGGAAGGGCATCGAAGGAAGCATAGGGTGGAGAGCAGGGCAGCCACAAGTGACAGGATAGGGTGAGAGGGCCATCATCGAAAGGCTTCATTTTTGCTGGAGACTTAACTGAGCCCAGATGCTTGGTAGTCTCCAAATGGAGCTCTGGAACAAAGACTTGTCTGAGATGATGTGGTTAGAGACGTAGGGATGGAAGCCAAATGCTATTTGCCATCTGTGACAGTCGGTGCCTCTGGGACCTTTGGTTATAAAAGTATATTAATAGGTTGCTTTTTGGCTTTTCCAAAGAAGACACAGATTAGAAGGTTGTGAGGGTCAGAGATGACTGATGTCATTAAAAAGACTTCAACATACTAGGAGCCAAGAAACCTGAACTCAAACAACAGGGCCATTTTGTCTTTTTGTCTATAATTGGCAATGTTTTCCTTCTTTTAACCAATGTTTGTGGTGTGGAAACTGGGAAAAGAGCAACTCTTAGTGCTGCTGATAGAATTAAAAGTGAAGGCAGAATCTGTAGATATCAAAAGTTGTAAATTCTGCATACATGTGATTCAACAATTTCAATTCTGAGAATTTCTTTTGAGGAAATAAGAACGAATGTTCATAAAGATAAAATTATAACTCTGTGGTAGCAAAATGTCTAAAAATCTAAATGACCCATTATAGGTTGTGACACTTGAAGAAGTGTCAGTTTTCCCACAATGCTATGCAACCATCAACCATAATCACAGAGGAATATATGCAAATATACTAAAGATGATAACAAAATATTAAGAGCTTTGCACATTGATGATCTCATTTTTGTAACTGGTAAGTAGGAGACCAAAAGGAATCAACATGCTGAAATATTAATGATAGTGATCTTGTGACAGGATTATAGTTCAATTTCATGTTCTTTTAAAAATACTTTATTTTTATTATTTTTATTTTACGTGTATGAATGTATTGCCTGCATGTGTGTAAGTGCACCTGGGTTGTGCAATGCCTCCAGAGGCCAAAAGAGGGCATTGAATTCCTCTGGAACTAGAGCTATGGACAGTTGTTAGCTGCCATATGGGTGCTGGGAATCGAACCTGGGTCCTCTGCAAGAGCAGTCATTGCTCTTAATCCCTGAGCCATCTCTCCAGCCCCCTCACTCTGTTCTTTTGCATTATCTAGTCATCTTATTTTTTTCAGATTTCTAGCCTGGATACATATAGAGTAGGTTGGGTGGCTAGTGAGCCTCAGGGAATTGCCTGTCTCTGCTTCCCCAGTGTTGAGACTACAAGAACATGCCATCACACCTGGCTTTTTATGTGGGCTCTAGAAGACCAAACTCAGGTCCTCAAGGCTGCAAAGCAAGCACTTTACTGACTGAGCTATCACTCCAGCCCCTATAAATACTTTTATTAGTATATATTAACTGTGCAAGGCAGGGGGTTTCATTGTGGCAAGGACATATGTTACTATAAGGGAAAAAACCCTCATAAGTTCTAAAAGGTAATGCTTGCAAACAAAACGGTACATTCCAAGTGTTTCCTTGACTCATTTGCTTTAGGAGCATGAACCCATGTTTGCTTGCCTCTGAAGAGTCCTTCTTAGCTGCCCAGGTGGATGCAGGTCCCTTTTTACCATGGGGCTCCCCAACACCATTTCTATTCCTGATGCAAGGCCTCCTCTCCCCATCACTTCATGTTCCCACATCTCCCCCATGTTCAGAGCCTCCCCCATGGCTCTGAAAACAGATCCCCTATGCATCTGTCATCACCAGGATTGGAGATACATGGGCCCTTAGTAAATGTTGGCTGGAAGAATGAATTCATCACCAAACCTGGGAGACCCACATGTGGCGGAGACTGCTCCTGAGACCAGCCTGAGGTGGGACTTGGAACAGAGCCACCTTGTCACCACTTTAACTCCTGCTTCTTACCTTGACAGAGAGGAATGGCCTCGCTCCACAAGTGGTAGCCCTGGGGGTGCCGAGTACAGATGGCCATGCTGTGTCCCACCAATCGATAACCTGCATCGCAGCCAAAGTGGATAGAACCACCTGGCTGGGTGGTGGTCTGGCCCAGGATGAAGCCACGGAGTGGAGCTCTGGGCAGGCTGCAGTAAGGAGCTAAAGAACAAGACGAGGCTCAGCAGAATAGCAGAGTGCCACTGCCTGGACAGGCAAGCTATTTCACAAGCCCTCCCCTTCTCCCCACAGCTTCTGATCTTTGCCACTGCCAAGTCCTTTGCTACTGAGGAAGGTCTGAGTGGTTGATACTGAAAAGGTCTGAGTAAAGCCAGAGCAAGACCCAACAAAACAAATCAAAACAAAGGCTAGTTAAAAATATGGAATGTCATCCACCCACGGCTCAGGGACCATTGGGGAAAGGAGGCAGAAAGATTGTAAGAGCCAGGGCTGGCTCAGGAACACAGAAGAGTTGGAGGCTTCCAGGCCACTGGAGGCTTGCCCATGTAAGCCCGAGGCAGCAGTGGCATGGAGCGCAGGACCCATGTCAGCTCAATTAAACAAGGGCCCAAAGGGGAGGTGAGAATTAGATGGTGGGACAGCACTAGATTGAGAACTATTTGAGATTGATTGCTGCTGGGTGAGGGATAGTATGACTTACATATGACCACTGGATGGGCTGACTAGATGCCAGTGGATGAATTTACACTGGGGGCATTTGGGTACAAACACCTGAATGAACAGGACTCAGCATGTATGGCAGAGTATGAATTTACACTGGAGGCATTTGGGTACAAACACCTGAATGAACAGGACTCAGCATGTACGGCAGAGTGCATAGGGTTCAGTGGGGGGATAGAGGGAGGCATGGATGGGGAGGGAGTCTGGATTTAAGTGGGAAATGTACGAAAATTTAAAAGCTCAATAAAAAATAACAATAACAGCATAACAACAGCCAGTTCCATGAATCATTTGGGTCCCTTTTGCCACCTAAAGGCAGCTCAGGTTGCTTTCAAACCCCTTGAGCTGTCAGGCAGCCTTAGAAAGCAGAATCCAGTGGAGCTGTTTCTGAGAGGTGTGACTACCAGACCTCAGTTTTTGTGATTTAGGACAAACCACTGAAGCTTGTTTGGCTCCAGTTTCTTCCCCTGAAATACCTACCTCACAGAGACTGTGTCTAGAAAGCACCCCAGAGCAGGGAACTTAGTGTTTAATAAATGATTCTTTTCTTTCTTTCTGTTGGGTTTTGAACTCTTGGGGACCTAAGACATATATTTCCCTTCAGGGCTCATTTCTCCCCCCAGCTTATGGTTTAACATATTTCATTTATTTATCTAGTAAAGAGATCTCAAGAGTCCATTAAGTGCCAGATGCTGCTGTAGTGCTGGGAATACAACGATGAGGAAAACAGACAAAAGTCCCAGATGGAGAGAACTCACACCACAGCCCCTGCCAGGAATCCTCAGGGCTGAGTGATGGTTATTATTGGTCATTTGACAAGGTCTAGAATAACCTAGGAGACAAATCTCTGGACTCGATTGTGAGGGAGTGTCTAGATTAGGTTAACTGAGGTGGGTAGACCCACCCTAAATGTGGGCAGCACTGCCCCACAGGCTGGAGTCCTAGAGAAAGTGAGCTGAGCACCAGCATTCATCTCTCTCTGTTTCCTGATGGCAGAAGCAATGTGACGAGCTGCCTTGCGCTCCTGCGGCCATGCCTCCCCCACTGTGGCGGACCGCATCCTCAAACTGCCATTCAAAACAAACCCTTCCCTCCCTAAGCTGTTTCTGTAAGTGTTTTGTTGAAGCCGTGAGAAAAGTAACTCATACAGATTGGTTCTGTGAGGCCGGAGACAGGGATGACCCTGGAGCCTGGTAGCATCTGCCTGAGGAATGTCTGGCTGGGCCTCCCAGGCAGTTGGTGATGAGGAGATCTGGGGCCGGACCATGTACTCACACACCTGACAGTGAGGCCTCTGGCTTCTTGTCTGAGGATTACCCTTCTGTGCATGTGGAAATGATGTTTTAAAGACCTCCCTGGCAAGCAGACATGTGCCCTTCGACTGTGCCCCCTCTGCCATGCGCACATCATATCTACAAATGGCCCTGACCCAGGAAGGAGAATCTCAGCTTAGTCATCCTGATAGACACAGTTGTAAATTACACACCTCCACTATATCTTAATTATTGAGTACTAATTGTTGTACCGTGTAGTGAATTCCTCTTCTATGTAGCATATGTTCTGTAATTACAACTGACTCATTACTTCCAAACACATTAGTCTTTGAACGTCAAGGAAAAGGGAACTCCTTAATAGCTTCTAGCTCTGAATTTAGCAACCAGGGAAGGAATATGCCATTTTTTCTTTTCACATGAGCAGCTGCTGGGAACTCAGGCTCGATCTCCCCTGAAGGGTATCTGGAGGTTTCTTTTTCATTTTGAGGAAACAGAGGCACAAACAGTTAAGTGCCTTGTCTGAGGAACTTTACTGCTAGTTAAGGACAGAGCAGGTCACTGACACGGGGTTGTGAGCCCATCTTTCTCCCAGCCATGGATATCTGGGAGAAGCTAGTGTGGGTAGGTTCAGAGGAAATGGACTTTGAAGGAGTGAAAACTGGGCTCCACTTGGCTTTATACAGGAAGCTCTTCCCACACTCAAGTGTTCTTTAGAGTTGTTCCCATAGGCCTTCTAGGTGTGGGCTGGTCTTGCAGCTATGAAGCTTATGAGAGGACAAGATACAGAGACAAGTAACAACTTGTTCAGGCAGGACTTGATAATTTGATATCCCTCCTAAATGATAGTCTTTGTGTGTGTGTGTGTGTGTGTGTGTGTGTGTGTGTGTGTGTGCATGTAGGTGCCTGTGTGGGTTCAAGTATATGTGTACGTGTAGAGGCCAGAGGTCAACCCAGATTTAGTCCCTCAGGATGCTGTCTACCTTATTTTTTTGACACAAGGTCTCTCACTGGGACCGGGGGGTTCACCAATCAGACTAGGCTAGCTGGCCAGAGAGCCCCAAGGATCCTCCTGTCTCTGCTTCTCCATTGGTGGGATTAAAAGTGATGTCATCACATTCAGCTTTTTACCTGGGTGTGTGTGTGTGTGTGTGTGTGTGCATGTAGGTGCCTGTGTGGGTTCAAGTATATGTGTACGTGTAGAGGCCAGAGGTCAACCCAGATTTAGTCCCTCAGGATGCTGTCTACCTTATTTTTTTGACACAAGGTCTCTCACTGGGACCGGGGGGTTCACCAATCAGACTAGGCTAGCTGGCCAGAGAGCCCCAAGGATCCTCCTGTCTCTGCTTCTCCATTGGTGGGATTAAAAGTGATGTCATCACATTCAGCTTTTTACCTGGGTGCTGGGGATAAGCTTAAGTTCTCATGTTTGCATAGCAAATATTTTACTGACTGAACTATCTTCCCAGTCCTTTCGAACCAATATCTTATGCATGCGCATGGTGGAACACCCTGGGATCTGTAGACATTCCCTGCAGTCTCCAGGGCTGCAAGACACAGTCAGCAGCTCATTGGACTGCCCTTCAAAGTGGGCACCGAGGCTTCAGTTTATCAAGCTTTCCTCCCACCAGGTCAGTGGTCCCTACAGTGAGAGTTCAGAGAAAGTCAATTTTCTCCATCTCATTGCATTCAGAGATATGTTTGCACTCCTCACAGACTGTTCCCTGGGCCTGGCCTTTGATCCGACCCTGACGAGACTGTATGGCTTGTCGGAAAAAGAATGAAAGCCTGTCATTTGCAGCAATGTAGATGGTAGTTGGGGACATAATGTTAAGTGAAATAAGTCAGGCACAGAAAGACAAATACCACGCGTTCTCATTCGTGTGTGAAAGCTAAGGCAAGTTGATTTTATAGAAGTAAAGAGTACAATAAGGGTCAACAGAGCTTGGGTCAGTGGAGGGCAGAGGGGACAGAATGACACTGGTTATTGGGCACAAAAACAAAAAGAGGCATAAGCTCTCATGAGCTACAGCACGGTTGGGTAACAATAGTTAATACCCAACTGACTGCAGATCAAAAGGGGTAGAAAGGATCTTGATCGTCCCAGACACAAAGAGATGATACTTTTTGAGGTGATGTGCATGCTAATTGCCCTCATTTGACCATTACAATTGCACATATTTATACACCTCACAAATAACACAATCATCATGTGTTAATGAAAGAATAATAATGGAAAAGATACAGCTTATAGAGCAGGAAAGGGCTCTTCTGCTGCCCGTCTGACATTCTCCTGGGGAGAGATTGTGACTCAGGCTTGTTCATTTAGGGAACTGCCATTAACATCTAAGCTCCTAAGGGGCGGGGATCTCCCTGGGTCTCATTGATTCTATAGGATAGTTAAAATTCTGGGGACACAAGACATGAGAAGGGAGGGAGGAGATTAAATGTGGGGAAAGAACCAGAACGAGAAGAGGCAGGGAGACACCCATTAGATGAGGGAGCTCGTAAGCATCAGGGGGCTGCCTTGGGCAGGAGACAGGCCATGGCTTCTTTGGATATTCTGGGTGAGCAGTTTAAGGGGTTCAGGGGCAGAGGCTCTTCTTACTCACCTGAATACCGGATCTTAAAGCCTTTCCGATTATAGGCGTGGTCAGATGACCAACGCAGGTACACCGAGTTGCTTGAGCTGGTGACAATCAAGGGTGCCGAGTAATTTCCACTGAGTGCTTTCAGCAGAGGACTTTGTCCTGAGGGACCTTGGGTAAGAAGGACACAGGGTTATAGGCCATCTGAAGCCTACAGAGAGCTGCGAGTGTAGACACTGGGGGTGGGATGGCCGGGTGACTTTGCATCCGCTGGCCTTGCTGAAGGTCTCTCCCCATGTCCCCATGTCCTGATATAAAGCAGTACTCTGGGGTGGGGAGTGTTAGCGCTCAGGATCATAAGTAACAGAGTTGTCCAACATTCTTTGAGGATAGCTTCCCTAGATTTTGGAGCAAATGGGGAAGGGAGGGTCCTGAGGTGCAGTGAGGAGGCACTCTTAACAGTTCTGTCACGAGAACAGAATGCCTACCTGCTAAGTGTACTCCTTGGGAGAGCCTGGGGAGACCCCATATGTTAAAGCACCGAGAGAGCTCTGGTGAGAACATGCTGTCCTCAGGAGGCAGAAGCTGATGGGAGGAGACGTGGTCATGGAATTGAGCTCCCTAGCAGTAACAGGGATGAGGTCACAGAAGCACTTCACAGCCTGAAGCAAGGCTGTTACAACTAGAAATGGGTGGCGGATTCGAGGGCAGCTGGAAGGATCTGGCCTATAAGAACCATGGAGGCAACTCACAAGCTGTGGCTAGCTGAACAGCCAAAAAGAATAGCCAAAACCACACGAATGTATGAACAAAACAGGTAACAGTGGAGAGGAGAGTGCCCCTGGTGGAAAGGTACACTCCTCTGTCCCATTTGCAGACCCAGGCCAGGCTTTGTTTCCCATTCTGGACTAGTTTGGCTGAAGGAGTCTATAAATGATACCAGTTGTATAGGGTAGCTTTCCTCTGGCCTCCTCCTTCCAAAGGCCCACCACTATTTACTCATATAACTGAATTGTGTAGAAATGGTAACAGCTGATGGTATTAAAGACTTTGGATACAGAATGCAGATTGATGCTGACACCTGGGGATCCATTTACCATGGCTGCTATGTTGGGACAGAGGTGTAGGTGGGGAGAAGCTGTTTGTACCTCACTGTGGAAACTTAACCAAGTAGCAACCTACTAGCAGCTGTGCCACATGTGGCATCTTTATCAGAGCAGACGAACACAGTCTCTGTTACATGGAATGCAGCCACAGATTTGGTAATTTGTTCTTTTCCCTATGGTCAGGAAGGAGCAGCAGGAACAATTTGCATTGGCGTGAGGTAGGCAACAGTACACATTCGCAGTGTGTCTCAGAGCTACGTGAATCCACCTGACTTTTACCATGATGCAGTGTGGGGACCATCTGGACAGAGTGCAGCATATTGGTTCACCATACTGTAACTGATAAGCCGGATTTGGTAATTTGCTCTTTTCCCTATGGTCAGGAAGGAGCAGCAGGAACAATTTGCACTGGCGTGAGGTAGGCAACAGTACACATTCGCAGTGTGTCTCAGAGCTACGTGAATCCACCTGACTTTTACCATGATGCAGTGTGGGGACCATCTGGACAGAGTGCAGCATATTGGTTCACCATACTGTAACTGATAAGCCACCATCAACAATTAGTGTAGCTGTCTTTGCAAGACTCATATGTTCCAGAGAGTAGGCGCTAAACCCCACAAAGGTTGTGGTGAAATTGGGGTTCACTGGCTTGGGACATACCGGGATGTTCTCGCCAAATCAAAAAGCACTAAAGAATCAGCAGCGCTGCTGGACCTCTTTGGTTTGGGGGTGGGGGCGGCCTACTCCTCTGGGGATTACCGCTGGACTCCACTGATTGCTCAATATTCAAGGGTTCTAGCTTTGAGTAAGAAAGGGTTCTGAGCATGGTCCAGGGTACTATGCAAGCAAAAGCTACAGCGCTCATCGGACTTCCTGACCTAGGGTTTCTATGGTAGAGAAAGCCATCACGTGGAGCCTCTGGCAGGTTCTGATAGGAAAGTTGCAGCTCAGTGCCCAGGGTTCTGGAGTGAATTGGTTCTATCTGCAGCAGACAACTGCACAGCCTTTGAGTGACTCACCGTCAAAGATCTCAAACTCATCGTACTGCTTCTCACTGAGGAAGTACTCCACTGTGATGGAGATGTTGTACTCCGGCTCCACCCTCACCAGCCAAGAGCATGTTTGGAACTGTGGATAGCTTCCAGGGTAGCTCTGGCTGAGGATCACTCCTGTGGAGTCTGTCAGAAGCTCATTTGTTGGGCAGTGAACTGGGAGAAAGAAAGAGATACCAGGTACACAGCATGGGACAGAACCAGGGTCAACATATGAGCTTGTCCCTGGTGCAGAACCACCACGGGAAGCCCAGCACTGGGGCACATCCAAAGACCTCACAGGAACCACTGTGTGGCCTCATGACATGGAGCAACTTCAAATCATGTGTCAACATGACAGCTTGTTGGGACTCACGGCTGGTCAGCTGGTTGAAATCACTTCCTAGCTTGGGTGTGGGTGCTGCTAACAGCATTTGAGGTAGGTGGACATGCTACACACACCTATAGATAACAGTAAGGCCACCCACACCAAAAGAACCAGTCTATAAAGCAGGTTAAGTTTGTACAGGGAGAGTATAGTGCACAAGTAAGTGCACCAGGTGGTGGGTCAGACACCACCCTACTACATACATTCCACCCATGTGGTCGCCAACAAATGATTCCCTACCAGCTGATGGCTTCTCCAACACAAACAGGTAACATCTACCTCACATTACACTGTAGTATATCAATTAACATATATAGTCTACAGCATAGTGATTCAGCAGATCATAGCGATGGATGATGATGGTAAACTGCATCAGGAATAGGATGGTCAGTGGCCACTGGGCCGCTGATTCATAGTATTAATGTGTCTAAAGAAAACAGTGCGGTCTGAAATCAGGGTGTCTAAGAACACAGTGTGGACCTCAAGGAGGGAAAAGGAGGAGGAGGAGGAGGGAAGAGGAGGAGGAGGAGGAGGAGGAGGAGGAGGAGGACGTGGTGGGGGAAAAGGAGGAGGAGGGGGAAGGAGGAAGAGAAGAAGAGGAAGAGGAAGGAGGAGGAGGACTTAGTTGTCTGATGTTACTGCAGAGGGGATGGAAGAGGCTGGTACAGAGGAGCCTTGCACCCCAGACACTGGGGAGGTGCTGTGTCCCAGGGCACAGGGAAGTGTCACAAGACCCTTCACGAAACCCATTTCTGGCAGATCCACTGCCACTTCCTTGGGCTTGTGACCCCAGAGCAGGGGTCCTCACAATAGCCCCATGGTATAAATTCTACCACCATCCTCATTTTACTGAAAGATGGAAAGACTGAATCAGTTTCTGCAGTGCTCTTGCAAACTGTGCAAATTCTCCAAGCCTACAGCAGGGATCAGTTACCATGTACCAGGTGCTGTCTTCACACACTTAATGTTATCAGCTGTCCGACTCCTCACAATAGCCCCATGGTATAAATTCTACCACCATCCTCATTTTACTGAATGATTAGGAATCTGAAGCAGGTTCCTTGGAAGTGGGGAGAATTGGATTTGGTCTGAGTTGGGTTAACTAGGTGAAGCAAGTCTATCTTTGTCAAGGTTTTGTGCTGGGATACAGACAGCTGGGGTCTTGGGTTGCCAGGTCACACACACAGGGCCCTAAGTGCACTTGCATCCCAGTGGGTAGGGTGCACATATGGGAGCCCATCCTTCCTGACATTCTGGAACTTTCTCTTCCGATTGCTATGTATGCAACTCCAGCGAATGTCAGGTAAGCAATAAGGATGGCCCCAGAGCACAGAAGAGGCAGGGACCCTGTAAAGGGCTCTCACTTATTCTGCCTCTGCTCACCCGTTCACCAAACACCATCAACCTGATGACCTCTTCTCAGTGGGGTAGGGACTGAGCTGAGGGCTGAGGATAGGAATAGTGGCACAACCAGGGTTCTGTTTGGGGAGGAAGATGCTGCTCAGTGTAATTACCTTCGCATATTGGGGGCGGGCCTTCAAACTGTAGGTACGTTCCCAGTTTGCAGGTCAGGATTTCACTACCCACTAAGGTAAAGCCAGGAAGACACCTGTAGCGGACGATGTCACCTGTCAAGAGAGACCAGCATGGGCATCCCCTGGAACAGTTTGATCTGGGAGGGCTGGCACCCCTTAGTACCACAAACCAAGTACCATTTTCCTGGATGATAACTAATGATGGGTCAGATTTCAGTAACCAGCTCCATGCTTGTCCAGTGTCCCAGACAACTGCTTTCCTCCCCAGACTCCAAATTAACAGAGATCGTGGATATTTTCATATTTTAAGAAATTATACGCTATCTTAAAGCTCATTTGAATAGCTGAGGGAACCCCCCCCCCGCCATGTCTCCCCGCCAGCTCCTCCTCCTGGGGCTGGATGGAAGAAGAGGGCTTGTGTTTTGGGTGCAACCTTAGCTGACAGAATGCATCCCCATAGCCTGGGTCTCTGTTTCCCTCTGCATGAATAGGAGGGAAGAATGGGACCCACTGTCTGATCCCTAACCCTGCCCTGCCCCTCTCCACTGGCCCTGGTTCAAGATCTTGATGTCTGGCAGTGATACCTATGTTGAATTCTTCATTCTCCGTGACCACTTCGGCATTGGGGAGGATGGTTGGGGGAGGACACTTGGTGAGTGGATAGGCTAAAAAGACAGAAGGATACAGGTCAGGGGCAAAGTGCCATTCTTGGGCACTGGACCAATTCCTCCCATTCTCATTCCTCAGCCATTCATACACTATATACATATATATTGAGTTGGGGGTTTCATGTATCCCAGATGGTCTTGAACTCACTATAGCCAAGGATGATCTTGAACTACTGATCCTCCCACCTCAGCCTCCCAAGTGCTGCACCACCAGCATGCCTGGTTTAAGTGGTGCTGGGGATCCAGTCAAGGGCTCTGTATACATAAGGTGAGCACTCTGCTGACTGAGCCACATCCCCAGATATGTATTAATACATGTATGGATGCGCTTATCTTTACGCAGGGAAAATTAGGCAAGCACTACTTATCTTATCTTTTTAAAAGAATTATTTATATTTTATGTGTATGAGTATGTGTGCAATGCCCAAGGAGGCCACAAGGTGTCAGATCCTCTGGAACTGGAGTTATGGACAGTTGTTAGCTGCCATGTGGGTGCTGGGAACTGAACCCAGGTCCTCTGTAAGAACAACCAGTCCTCCTAACCAGGGAGGGACTTAACCACGGCAGCCCTGTTTGCATCCATCTAAAGGCATAGAAACAATGTGCTGAGCCCCTTCCTAAACCTTGCCTGCCCAGCTGCACAGCCCAAAGTGGTCATGACCTTGAGTTAAGGCCTTGTTTCTTATCTTGTGCCTCCAAACGGTGGTAGGGCTTCCAAATCACATAGTCCTCACAAGTATATTACCTTAGAGCAGCCCACCCCCTCAGGCCAGTGCTATTAAAGGATCTGCTTACCAGGATTTGGCCCTGTCTATACTGAGCCAGAAGAACTCACTCTTTATCTAACAGGAGGGTCTGGGAAGTAGCCAATGACATCAGTAGTCCTGGGGAAAGGGCAGATTATTGCTGAGCACCCCCTCTATGCAGGGTGATTCTGTGGACTGTCCCTCTAAGGGGTCTCCCAGTAGTTGACCCTGTGATGTATTTCTGCTGTGCTTGTAAGCAGGTGCTATCCAAAAGGTGAAGTCACTTCCTCAAGACCACACAGGAATGAAGTGGCACAGGCAGGATTTGAATCCAGATCTGGCTGCTTCACACTGGCCATTGCCCAGTCTCTCTGTTCTGTGTGTGGCTTCTGTTCTGGTCTTCGGCCAAATACACCTGCTCTCAGTGGATTCTTTAAACTGGAGTCCATCCCTTGGTGCAGAGATGGGATGGTGCCTGGGTGCAGGATCATCAGTATGGACTTCTCATAGTCCTTCTCACTGGTCTCATAGCAGAGTGCTATAGAACTGTTCCCTGCCATGGCTGCAGTTACTAGTATTTCCAAAATCTCCATAACCCCTGCTCTGTTTTAAAAAATGTATAATGTCATTAAAAATTGAGATAAAAAAAATGAAAACAGTAGCAAGAAAAACGCATCCATTGTCTTTTCAGACATAGCCACTGTTAACCTTGTGTAGTGTGTTCTTGGCATAGTTAAGTGCTTTTCACCTACCAAAGCTGCACTGTGTTATGCACTTTGGTGCTGCTCCTTGCCAGCTGTGAGCACATCAGAAGACATTTCTCTCACCACATAATGAAATTTCTTCAAAATGAAAGTGAAATGACTTCATAAGATTTAATCATACAGATTTACTAGAATTTATTTCACAGACGCTCTGTTGTTAATCATTTAGAATTTCAAAATTTTGCAATTTAAGATAAAATCCAATGATGAAATCATTTATCCTTGTGTATTACATGTGTCTGGGTCTCTCTCTCTCTCCTCTCTCTCTCGCTCTCTGTCTGTCTCTCTCTCTCTGTCTCTGTCTCTGCCTCATCTAGCCAAGGCTTGCTATATAGCCAAGGATGACCTTGAACTCCGGATCCTCCTGCCTCTACCTCCCAAATACTGGTATTATAGGTATGTGTCACCATGCCTGGATTCACATGTATCTTTTATATTTGAAGGAATTCTTCTTTTCTTTTTGCTGATTCTTTTCGATTTAAGCTAAGAATGATTAAAGTACATGACCTTTTTAAAAATGCAGGCATCTCTTGTCAAATGTCAGTAAATCTCTTCCTGGATATCCTGTGCTAACCCAGACTTCTTTTCTCAATACTTTAAGTGGGAAAAGATTCTACTGATTTTGTACACCAAATTCCAAAGGGAAATTAAAACACAATAAAATATCTGCATATATGTAGCAAGTCGTTATGACAGAAGCTGGATTCTTAAAACATCAGTTCATGCCCATCAGTAATTTTAACACAGCTTTGAGAAAACCCAGTTGTGTATTGATAGACAGTTGGCCTCCTGGTATTATAAGCATTCACCATGTTGTGCAAGATTTTCTAGCATCAGGACTTTAAGAGTTTTGTTGTAAAACTCTAGGCAGAAGCAGGTCACAATGGGGACATGTTCAGCGCAGTTGTAAAATGGGCAAGTACTCCTCGCTTTGAGCAGCATAAGGTGACACCTCCCTGCGCCTGCAGCATCCGAGACACATGTCTCCATCATGCAATCAGAAATCCTTTCCAAATATTCCCATAGGATTCTGACATTTTATCAACTGTTTTTGGAATGTAGTTGGAGACTTCTGTATTCAGTTGTTTTTTGTTTGTTTGTTTGTTTGTTTTTGGTCTTTTTGAGACAGGGTCTCCCTGTAGTCCCAGCTGAACTGGAACTCACTATGTAGAGCAGGCTGGACTTGAACTCATAGAGATCTACCTGCCTCTGCCTCCCAAGTGTTGGGCCTACAGGCACGCGTCATCGTGCCCAGGTTTGTATTGTTTTATATAAATGCTGTGTTACGTCAGGAGATCTAACTTTAAATTTTTTATACAGGTGCGTTATAAGTATCACACTGAGAGAGATGAAAGCTTTGTGAAATGTGGGCACTAGCACTTAAGAGGCCCTCTTAGGAAGTAACCACGTGGATTTCAGCTTGATTTAACAGGAGTCAGGAGAACTGTGTCTGCTTGTAAGGCTTGAATCCATTTTTCCACTCCAGGAAAACTGTTGGACTGACACTGTCAGCAGATGACAGCTGCCCTGACACTGGGCACATTATCCTTCCTCCTTCCATTCCACTGAGATTTCCTTGCCTAGCTCAGCACAGTGTTGGGTGCTAAGGATGCAAGAACCTCTGGGGTCTTGGCCCTTCTAGAAGATCCAGCCCATGGGGGACAGAGACATCAAATGGTTTGACAAACAAAAGCTCAGCACTTAAATCTTTTACCTCTCTCTCTCTCTCTCTCTCTCTCTCTCTCTCTCTCTCCCCTCTCTGAGAGTGTGGTGTATGTGTATGAACAATACTTACGTGTGTGCACATGTACCTTACTTTTTTGTGGGGGGTAGTTAAGACAGGATCTCCCTGTAGCCCTAGCTGGCCCGGTACCTGCTATGTAGACCAGGTTGGCCACAATCTCACAGACCTCTGCTTGTCCCTGCCTTCTGGGTGCTAGGCTTAAAAGCCGGGCGTGGTGGTGCATGCCTTTAATCCCAGCACTTGGGAGACAGAGGCAGGCAAATCTCTGGGAGTTCAAGGCCAGCCTGGTCTACATAGTGAGTTCCAGGACAGCTAGGGGCTACAGGGAGACCTTGTCTCAAAAAGACCAAAAGAAAAAAAAAAGTGTGTAGCACTATGCCTGGCTCTTCATCTTATTTTTTGAGGCACTGACTAGGCTGGACAGGAAGCTCCAGGGACCCACCTGTCTCCACTTTCTAGTGCTGGTTTTACAAGCACTTGTTACCATGACTGGTTCTTACAGGGGTGCTGGGGATGTGAACTCAGGTCCTCATGCTTGCAAGAACCATCTCCTTATCTCTCTTTTTATTAACTTTTTTTCAGATTTTAGTAAGTTTTTAACTATCAAGTTATGCCCTTTGCCCCTGCCTTTCTTATGAAATTGAACAAGTCTATGAATATTCAAGATTGACTTTAGCTTGTTAATTCTAAGTTCATAAGTTTATTCATGACATTCTTTTGATTTCTAGAAATATCAAAATCTTGTTTACTCAACTTGTTTCCTTAACAATTTTATTTTTATTTTTTTAAGGGAGAAAAGGCTTATTTTTATCATAATTACTTTTTAAAATTAATTTATTGAGAATTTCATACATGCATATAAGGTGTTTTGATCAAATCCATGCCCACTCCATTCCCTCCAACTCCTTCCATATCTCCCCATCACTTTTTTCATAACTTCTGGTACTCTTTCTTCTTCTTTTATTTTTTTAGGGGGGCTTTTTGCTACTCTAAAATTCCCTCCTCTGAAGAAGTAACCCTAAAATCTTTTAAGGATTAGATAAAAGCTCCCGAATACTTTTGACATTTTTGGCCTTTGGAACGAAGTGTGTTGCTAAGAGGCCCAAGGACTTTTTGTGACTTTTAGCCAAAAAACTGGATACTTTTCTTTGGGGCCTTTTTACCCAACTGCCTAGCCAATTCCTATCTCCTATTCTTATCACACCATCCTCTGAAGAGGTTACCAGTTTTATTTTTAATTCTATCCATTCCCCTCTTCACCTTCTCATACTTACCTTCAAAACTTTCAAGGCATGATTAAGTTTTCTGGAAAAAAAATCAATATAAATGCAGCCTGAGTAGTTTGCATGTGGTGGTTGATTAGGGTGATTTCTCATTGCATTACATTTTTTAAAAACAATTTTTTGCTCTATGTAGAAAGTTTATGGAATACTGACGAGCAACGAACAAAAATTCCTGAACCCTTCCCCTGTAGTCTTAAGGAATCTTAGCATTTCGATGTGTGGATGACAGACTTTTCAGAGGCTTCCATTCTCCACTGATGCTGTCCCACCGGTCTGTTACACTTTCATGACACACTGCAGGGTGAGGACATTCAAGACTGACTCCTCAACTTGTTTTGCCCCTCCTCTCTCTCTTTCTTTTGGAGGGAGACATGGCTGTGGCTTAGCAAGGATCTAGTACACACTACAGTGGTGGCTTGTGGGTGGTAGGGCCATTGCTTCAGGTCGGCTCGAGTCCTTA